CCCKGGGRGGKGYRTGATGTTTGTGTGTCTGCTCACCAAGCAAAGCTGCCTCCAGTGTGAGTGAAGCTGCTCTGGCTGCTGATCCATTCAAATGGGATTGGTTCCTGGTTTTAAGCCAGCACAAATTGCCCAGAGAAGCTGTGGCTGCCCCATCCCTGGAAGTGTTCAAGGCCAAGCTGGATGGGACTCGGAGCAACCTGGTCTAGTGAAAGGTGGACTGGATGATCTTAAAAGTCCCTTCCAACCAAATAATTCTATCATTTGGCAAAGAAGAAGCCAGAAGTGGACTCACATCTTCCTTGTAGGGGACCCCAGCTGTCCTTGGGGCCACTGCAGGCTCCTGGGGCTGCAGTCATTCCATCCACAAAGCATCACTTCAGATGACGGCTCAGGAGCGACTCATGACTTTGCAGTAAGAGTAACCTCAAACCACTTCTTTCCTCTTCCTTGGGGGAAGCTGAGATTAGAGAGAGGTGCTGGCTCTGGTAGAGAGCTTTGAGGCAGCCCCTGCAGGTGTGGAACTCCAGTCAGCAAAGGGGAAAGCTGAGCTGCTGGGAAGGGGGAACACAGCAGTACTTGAGCTTTCCAGTGCTTGTTGTGATGAAGCTGAAGGACACAGCTGTGACCAAGGGGGAGTGACCACGGTGTTATGGTCTGGAGAGTTAAAGCCTCAGCAGCTGCAGTGACCCAGTCCCAGAGCCAGGGAAATGAGTTACTGACTGTGCAAATGTGACTCTGTGCTGTGGCGATGCCAGTTTGACCAGAGACTCCAAACTTGTCCTTTTCAAAGTCTCTTAGGCAAATAATGCCCCTGACTGCTGTGCAGGAGGCCCTTCTGCAACCAGGGTTGTGTCCCTGCCTCACTGTACTGCTGCTGCTTCTCACCTTCCCAGAACTGCTGTAGCCCTGCAGCTTTTCTGCCTTTCCCAGTGGGCAGCTCCACTTGCCTGGGGCTCTACAGCATCCTGGTGGGAATAGCTCTGCTGGAAGGTGTCTCAGCAGATAGTTGGAACTTGTGCCCAGAGCCCAGCTGCTCTCTGCCCTCCTCCTGCCCCTGTGCAGGCTGGGCTGCCCACAGGTGGAGATTTAACAGGCCAAGAGGTGGCAAACATGCTTTGGAGACGTAGGGAAGCTGTCTGGATCAGTGGGCTGGCTCCCTGTGCCCCACTGGGCTGGGAAAGGCTGGTAGTCCTAGAGATGCTCCCTTTCATTCCACTTGCTGTCCAGCATCTTTGTTGGAGACACAGACAGTGAGATCAAGGGCACCCTCAGCAAGTTTGCTGATGAAACTGAGCTGTGTGGTGCAGCCACATGCTGGAGGGAAGGGATGGATCCAGAGGGATTTGGACAGGCTGCAGAGGTGGGACCATGTGAACCTCGTGAAGTTCAACAAAACGTAAATGTAATGTCCTACACCTGGGTCGTGGCAATCCCAGGCACACCAACAGGTTGGGAGGAGAAAGGATGGAGAGCAGCCCTGTGGAGAAGGACTTGGGGGTGACGGTTGATGAAAAGCTCAACATGAACCAGCAGTGAGCACTCACAGCCCAGAAAGCCAACGGGATCCTGGGCTGCATCCCGAGGAGTGTGGCCAGCAGGTCAAAGGAGGGGATCCTCCTCCAGTACTATGTACAGTTCTGGTGTGCCCAACAAGAAGGACATGGAACTGTCGGAGCAAGTCCAGAGGAGGCCACTCTGGGCATTGATAAGGGAGATTGGGGCACCTCCCCTATGAAGACAGGCTGAGAAAACTGGGGTTGTTCAGCCTGGAGAAGGAAAGGCTGAGTGGAGACCTCAGCACCTTCCAGGATCTGAAGGGGTCTACGGGGAGGTCGGTGAAGGGACTCTTCGTCAGCAACTGTAGTGACAGGACAAGAAGTAATGGGTACAAACTGAAAAAGGGGAGATTTAGGTTAGATACACAGAATAAATTGTTTATTGTGAGGGTGGGGAGGCCCTGGCACAGGTTGCCCAGAGAAGCTGTGGCTGCCCCTGGATCCCTGGAAGCGTCCAAGGCCAGGTTGGA